CTAGGATATTAAAATAATTACGATAACTTGAAATGGCGCTCAGTAAAGTGAACACTGCTGCCAGGGCCCAACAGTCCCATAATGAAAACACATTTAATTTCACTAGATCCAGATTTTTCTCTCTGAGAAATCTCACAATGTTACAGAAAGTGAAAAAAAATGTTCTTGATCTGCCTCCTGGGCCAGAGCATTGACTAAATTTAATGGGTTCTTTCTTGGGTCATGCCCCACCATGCTGCAAAATTTCATGGAAATAGGATGAGTGGTTTTAGCATAATCCTGCTAAATAAAAAATAAAACAAACAGACATAAACACAACTGCCTGGGCGTACATGAATTAATGCAACACCTTTCAAGGGGGCCTAGGTCGATTTACGGGGGGAAGAGTTCATTATGATTTTATGAGAATCAATGAAATTTTACCAGAGATGACACAGCACAAGCTGTACTCTTAAAATGCCTATAGAGAACATCATTATCCAGAATATATTTATAGGAATTGTTCAGTGTTTGTGTTTTTGTCATTAGTTGTACTTGCGCTTGTGGGATAAGTTTTCTTGCACACGTACCAGGTAATGAAACACAGTCTTAAAAGTATTTGTGTCCGTCTGTGACTTTCACCTCCAGGACAGTAAATGCCCAAGTTTGTTAAGCCTGCCACTGACCAGGTTATCAAATTCAGAATTCTCCAGAGATCAAAATAAAGTGGGGCGACATTTTCTTTTGGAATTTCCGTGAGCATTGCAACATTTTGAACCTGGTTAGTTTGATTTTCCATGACCAGCAAAGCGCGTCACAGAGCGGCTCATTATGACAGAAAAAGCCTGAGGCCATTGAACTGAAATACCCTGAGTCACAGGGTCCTTTCCAACAGACTGTAGCAAATCATCAAAGTATGATATCACTGTCTCTTACCAAACACACGTGGAGACCTTGAACCCTCACATCTACTCAATCATGGTTCTTTTAGGCCCATTGATCAGATATAACACAGTCCTGAAGCTAAGCCTGTCAGTAACTGTATGTACTTAGCTGGAACTACAACACTATGGCCACACTGTCTTTGTAAAAGTGTCCTTGTGTTTATGCAGTTGTATTGGCCACATTCAACTCATAAGACCAGTTATAATTTATAAGCCATCATGCTTTACTGAGAGGGCACAGTGTCTCATTCAGAAACACAGAGTTCACTGTTGATTGAAAGAGACTGCCTTCATTAGAACACATTTACTGGTGTAGCTTTTATAAACATATTTTAGTTATGAGTAATGTGTTGACAGTTTTTTAATCCAAATATAATAATATAATAATAATAATATATTCAAATATATTATAAAATATAATAATAATAATCAAAAAATAGAGTTCTTCCTCAAATTTTTTAGTCTGATTACCACTATTCACTGTCATTCTCCCATTAACACACCCATTCATACAGTGCATCTATGGGCAGCACTTTTCCTATGAGGGGCAATTCAGTATCTTGCCCAAGGACGCGCAGATAGAGAAGACTGGGATCAAACAGCAACACTCACACAGATGATGACCGCTCTACACCCTCAGCCACATCCGTCCTGGTAGGTACTATATGCATACGGATGTGGGCCACTTCAGGCAATGAAATGGAAATTCTATTCAAATGGAATTCAAATTCACTTTCAATCAAATTCAAATTCAATGCCACTTTATAAATTCAGTAAACTGCACTGACTTTTAACACATTGCACTGATGCCGTCGTTGTTTTCTTCCTTGTTTTGATTTGGGTAATGACATGCTCTCTGTGCCTTAGAATTATCCTGAGGGGACAAATAAAGTCGTTTTGAATTGGAAGTAAATGTGGCCTAAATATCCCAAAACAAACGTGGTGCTCTCGGCAAGGTGTCATCTGGCTGTGAACCTGAAGCTGCAACACGTGGTCAATGGTGAATGAGGCCCAAACAGAACAAAACAAGTGTTATCATTCCATTTGGGCCAGACCTGGGATGTGGTTGCTATGTGAGGAGCCTCAGAGTGAATCTCAGTATTTCTTGTAGATCGAGCTCAGGTGAACACAGACAGCTCCAGCTCAGACCTCCGCCTGAGGTCGTTTTTAGGTGTTAAAGAGAGAGAGCAGGAAGTGACAGGGTCTCTCTTCACTCATGAACCTCACTGATCGCTGATCTGATGACAGGCGTGGCCAATGTGGTGGCCGCCGGTGACGTAGGAGGAGGAGAGACTTTGGGCCAATCAGCGGCGGCCGTGGTGCTCCTCATCTGCTCGGTGTGTGTACAATGGGGAAGGTGAGCAGCACCACAGGTCTCTGTCATCGCTGGACTTTACTCGGCTGAGTTCGGGCTCTGTTCGGTCAGCTGGAGGAGACGGCACCTGAAGTCAAGTGAGTAACCTGGAGCTTTTATCACCGGTCAACCCGCCTCTCTGTCCGGAGCTCACCACACACGTCAACTAGACGCTAATATGAATTAGCTCGCTAGCAGTCGTGAGTATCGCCGAGTGTGGTTGCTGTGACAGTAGTGATAGAGATTCGTCGGTAGCTGTCTTGTTGGCTCCTCTTCAGTCTCCTCTCGTCACACTGACTCCTGGTGTTAGCTTCACCGGAGCTAGCTCCGCTGTTAGCTCAGTGTCTGTCATGTGAGGATGATTTGATTCTCATTTGTTTGTTCTGTCACTCACTCAAATCCTGACCTCAGCTGGTTTGAACACTGATGTGTTATGTTTCCCTCAGGGCTCTGTGATAGGACCAATACATATCAAAACTAGAATCTTCACATCAGTCGATATTGATATTTATTATGATATATGGAACATTATTATTTGAGTTTTGCTTCTGACTGAAAGTTGTGGTCTTACTCTCTTTTTCAGAATAACAAATACTTCACGAACATCTAAAACATTTCATAAATCTGAGCTTTATCACTTATATGTTATACCCCCCCTCACTCAATCCGTAAGAATATTGGACTATTGCTATTCAAGACTCTTTATTGTCAGAGAAATTACGAAACCGTCATTCTCAAATCAAATTGTGCCTGTGATAAAGATTTACAAAGTAAATACACAAATGATTTGCTGTTGATGTGATTTATCTTGTGATGATTATTTGTATTGTTTTATTGTTCAGCCCTTTAGTGCCCATGAGCAGCTTTATTTTGGTTGATGATGCCACTGTTTATTTCTTCATCTTGAATTGAATCTGCTTCTTCAGGATGGAGAGTGGCAATGATGGCGTCCTCCGGTCCCGCCTGCGATCCTTCCCCTTGACACCCCCCTTCTCTGACCTGGACAGCTCTTTGGATGGGGAATGTAGTCCAGAAGGACACCGGCGAGGGAACGGAGAGACCCACATAACAAGCAATGGTGAGAAACTCTCCCTTGTCCACAAGTGAGAGGACAATGACCTGCATATAAAAGGGAAATGTGCATGTTGACTCAATCCTGTCCTCCCTTTTTTTAAATGCCAGTAATTTTCCCTGGGCATTTGACTCATTGAAACAATGTCATATGATGATATCCTCATCAAATGACATTGTTTTTGACCTATGGTACTATTACCAGGGCAGAGAGTGGCCGAGGCTGCTTACTACTGAACTGCTGCTCACTACTAAACAGTAGAGAAGCTATGAACTCATCAAAATCATTGTTGTATGACACTGAATTTGGAAATATGCTAATAAAGTAAAACTTATTGTCCTCCTGGCTTTGTTACAGAGTCAAGCTCAGTCACTGTCTTTGCTCAACTGTTTGTTTACGTCTTCTCACTAGATGGATGAAGTGTCAGCGTCACTTATTGTTGTTTGTGTGACTAATGTCAGTAACTGAGCAAACTTGTTTAACATCAAATGAATGAGCTGTAATAACTTCAATCATAAGCATTCACATTTACTCAGCCTTATAGATGCCAGATTGCACTTTGTACACAATGAGTTTTGTGTGTCTCCATTTGGAAATTTCAACATTGGATCTAATGTAAGAGGACTTCTGCTATTTTCAACGGTTTTTTTCACAGTACAGTGACTAACACCTACAGACATCAACTATTAAAGTTTACTAGCAACCAAGTCTCTTGTAAAGGGTTAATATTAAAAAAATGTGTAAATTCTGTATAAACAATAAAACAGAGGGAGTTCTTTTTGTGTGACATGTCCTCAAATAGCCACCTGTATATTATTTCCTGGTCATTTATTAAAATATTTGGAATGGCTTGAATTGATGTTTGCATTCACCAGGTCAAAGTTCTGCTGAAACGAGGTAACCTGGCAACTCTGTTTGGGTGTGTCTTTTGTGTAGAGCTGTATTTTTGATAATGGGACGGTACAGGGCAGTATGTTGACAAATGTTTTGCCATGTTCTCTTTTGGATTTCAGGAAAAATTGAAGTGGAACAGGTGATCAGCAAAAAGCTGCAACTGAAAAGAAAAGCAGAGGTTGGTAAATCAATAATCCAGAAGGAAAAAGCTCAACTTGGCAATGGAGCCTTTTTGGACTAATAAAACATGATGTCATGACATTATTATTCTATTTAATTCAACAGTCTGTGACGCCTACTGTATGTATTAGTATTTAGATTTAAACTGTCTTAATGGAAACAGAACTCTGGCTTGGTGTTGACGCTGGACAAATTCATAATGTGAATACATAGCACTACATTTAGAATATTGGACACGATGTTGAATATCCCAAATATACTCTTAATCTAAAAAAAGGGTTTATATGGTAGTTGTGGAAATTTATTGTTTTCACTATATTGTATATATTCAAAATGACTTGTGGTTTCTGCACCAGTGTTCTACAGTGATTTACTTAAGGACATCTGTACTTTCTTTAGCAGTTTTGATTTAAAAAAAAATCAGTGTCACTAAAACAGTGAAACTTCACAATGTAAAACCAAATTTGTATATTCAAAAAGGAAATCATTGCTGCCACAGAAATTCTGTAAATTATAATTTTCTGTGTCTCTTCTTTGTTGCTCAGTTCCTCAAGAGTGACCTGATGCGTCAGTTTGACAGTCAGGTCAATGACTTCATGGACAGTCTTATCGAAGAGTCAGCCAGTCTGGAGCCTGCACCTCTGCCTGCTGTCTTCTCACCACCAATGTTGGACAAGGAGCGGAACAAACTTGGGTATTGATATCCAACGTCTCTATCAAGTCAAATGTTGCTTTCAGTTGCTTCCATAGGGTATATGTTGACAAACTGTCCCCTTGTCTCTCATGGACAAACGCATGCTCATCGTCCTGCGAAAATAATGAAATTGCTGGTACCTGATTTCACTCTGTTTTCTTTCAGGCATTTCCGGCCTCCTCACGGCCAGGGGAAACAGTTTGTCAATCGCAGGTCGCTCCTAGAGTAAGCAGACACTAACCCTTATGTTGAAGTCATAAACATATTTTTTATACAATACAGAGGTACATTGAAATGTCTCTTTGTTACAGTGAACAGTTTTAGCAATGTTTAAAGAGTGTGTGTCAATCTTTAGTTTTTTGTTTTCCTGTAGTGAGCTGTTTGAGGTGAACCACATCCGGACCATCTACCACATGTTTATTGCCCTGCTCATTCTCTTTATCCTCAGTACACTTGTGGTTGATTTCATTGATGAAGGAAGGTAATATAAGTCTTTTTCTTTTGTTTATATGTGTTTTTAATTTCCTTAAATTGATATAACTGGGAGTTGTTGAGTTTCCTTGTATATTGTTGAAAGGTCTCAACTTTAATGTGTAAAATGTCTTAAGATCCTGTATGTTGTGATTTGGTGCCACACAAATATAACTGAATTAAGATCATCTGTCATGAACCTTAAAGTTTCTCAGGTCTACTTTTTCTTCTCTGCCTCAGACTTGTGTTGGACTTTGACCTGCTGGTCTATGCGTTTGGACAGTTCCCTCTGGTGGTGTGCACGTGGATCTGCATGTTCCTGTCTGTGTTGGTGGTTCCCTTCACCCTGTTCCACCTGTGGTCACAGAGCCAGTCCGGGTCTTACCCCAGATTGAACACTTTGCTCTTTGGCTCTGTATACCTGCTCTACCAAGCTCTGGGTCTGGGATTCCTCCCCACATATGTGGTGGTGATCAACAGTATGCCGCCGGCATCCTGCTTCATCATCATCCTGGAGCAGGTACATGACCAGTATGACTGCTTGTAGCTTGATCGGTGTGTCACAACCGGGCTGTTGTATTATTTATATTACTTGGCTTATGTCATCACTTTCAAATGTTTGATATAAATTCCTCCTCCCGTCTTGAATCCCATCAGGAGTAAATGTTTCATTTTTTATTATTTCTGTTATTCTAGGTGCGGCTGATGATGAAAGTACACTCCTTTATCAGGGAGAATGTTCCTAGAGTTCTGGCCTGGACTAGAGACAAAACCAGTACGTAACTTTCCCACAACTATGTTTTACATTTCTTCTTTCTTTCCTTCCTGTTTCTGTGTTCCCTTTTCCTTATGATCTGATATTGACAGTCTCTCTTGTCATCTACAGCTCCCAGCCCTGTGGTCCCTCAGGTTTTTCAGTATATCTACTTCCTGTTTGCACCCACACTCATCTACAGAGACAAGTACCCCAGGTAAACAGACTCTTTATCTGACAAATGGCGTTTTAAATGTCCTTTTTAAAACTGATCAAACCTTGTTTTTACGTTATGCAGGAACCCAGTGATCAGATGGGGCTACGTGGCCACAAAGTTTCTTCAGGTACAAACCTCTTTTACATTTCACTGCAGACTTTACTCAAAATTTCAAGTAAACAGAATTGTCTAATTTTTCTTTTGATTCCAACCGTTCCTACCCGACAGGTACTCGGCAGCCTGTTCTACGCCTATTACGTGTTTGTGCGGCTGTGCATCCCTCAGTTTCGCAGCATCAGTCTACAGCTGTTTGACCTGAAGGCCATGGTCCTCTGTGTCTTTAACTCCATCCTCCCAGGTAAATCAGTCACTAATATGTGGACCCTCACAAATGAGAAGGTGAGAGTTAAAGTATTGTTTTTGTAACAATACAATTTTATTGTGAATCTTTTATATTTCATCTTCGCAGGAGTGTTGGTTCTCTTCCTGGGATTCTTTGCATTCCTCCACTGTTGGCTCAACGCATTTGCTGAGATGCTTTGTTTCGCTGATAGGATGTTTTACAAGGTGCTGTTTTTCTTCTGCAATATTTAGATTGATGTTTAATTTCATAAATTTTTGATAATGTTGCACTTAATTTTTGACTTAATACAATTTGGTTACACATCATAGGATTGGTGGAATTCAACCTCTTTTGCCAACTACTATCGCACTTGGAACGTTGTGGTCCATGACTGGCTGTACTACTATGTGTACCGGGACTTCCTGTGGGTAAGTGTTATTTTTACACCAGCAGTGTAAATGTATTATCTTTATTATGTTTTTTTTAATTTGCTGTTTTTATACCTCAGTGACTGCTTTGGTCAGAGGCATTTTATTTTCAGGGTTATATCTGTCCATCCACTTCTCATGGATGTGATATCTCTGGAACAGCTTTAGAAAATGTTGCCAATATGGCACAAAAGTTCACTTGGAGTCACTTTGATCTTACAAAACAGGTTTTTGGCCATAACTCAAAAATTAATTCACTAATTATTACATAATCTAACACAAATGTCTAATAAGATAACAATTATGAAGTGATTAAATTTTATATCCAAAGGGTCAAAGGTTAACTTCATTGTAGCATCATAACTTTATGCAAAAAATCTTTCCCTGCCATTATTAAACACTGTATCTCAGGAGCAGAATGGGGAGATAGTGGCCATGTTTTCTGCCAACTGACTAATAGGTGGAGGCATTTGCTTAAATGTAGTCTAATAAACACAATGCCGATTTAAAAATGCATGGATTACATTAAGCGTAGGCCACTGATGCATTAACTTTTCATTTCTCTCTGCTTTTGTCGTTCCAGATTTCACAGAAGCGTTTCAGAGCAGCAGCCATGCTGTTTGTGTTTACAGTGTCTGCGGTGGTCCACGAGTACATTCTTGCAATCTGCTTTGGCTTTTTCTATCCCGTGCTCTTCTGCCTTTTTATGTGCTTTGGAAGTAAGAACAAAATGCCACCACACACCTCAATGTTATCATGTGTACATTTTTTAAGTCTCTTAAAGACATGTGACCAGTACATTTAATTTTACCCCGGAATAGCTTGAAAGCTGGATCTAATAATAGAATTGTCTGGCATGTATCATAAACTCACAAAGCGTTTATCTGTTCATTAAGCTTCCGCCCTCATCTTCTTTCTTCAACCTCTCACAGTGATGTTCAACTTCATTCTGCACGACCAAAGGAAAGGTCCCATCTGGAACATAATCATGTGGACATCCCTCTTCTTGGGTCATGGTGTCATTATCTGTCTGTATTCCCATGAGTGGTATGCCCAGCTCTACTGCCCCTTGAAAGAGGTAACTACTTCAGCATTAACCTTGTTCTGACAGTTGATTTGTTGGCCTGATGTAATTTTTCTCTATGGTTACAGTTTAATTCATTTGAGAGTTTTAGTTTATCTATCTTAGGTGTCAACGTGACTTCAGCTTCTTATGTTGGTGTTTTTGTTTCAGCCTTCGTTCCTTGAGTTACTGAAGCCTCGCTCCTGGAGCTGTCAGAGAGGCTCGATGGTGGAATCTGACAGGCTGTGACCTGTTTTTGGACAACTGCCGGGGACTATTGCTGATTAGTATAAATTTGACCAGCCTTCCTGTTTCTGTCATGAAATATATTTTTTATTTTATTGCACTAAGGTCTGAGGTCAACTGAGTCTTTGAATGATTGCAGGTGGGAGGACCTATAAGTATCTGCCAAAATGTTCTTTACTTCAACAGCTAAGTTACAATGATGCCTTACTCAGTTTTATGTTTTCAAAGGCAACCCCACAAAGCAATTACAAGTTCACATAGAACCCTGTGTGAACTCTTATTTTAATGTACTATTTATTTTTCTCACGTTTTCCTTTCTTTTTTCCTTGATCAACTGTGAAACCCTGTGCCAATAGAAACAGAGGCAATGATGAAATCGCAGCTGAAAACAAACATTACACAGTGTAAACACTGAAAGTGAAGTGCATTCAGTATGCTTCTTGGAAAAATATTTATTATTATTTATATTCACTGCCCATAAGATTTTTTGTTCTTTAACACTGGACTTCATAAGAGAAATTTTTTCAAGAAGATGACAGTTAATATACTCTGTGACTGTTGAATGTATTCCCTATTACTGAATAGACCTGGTTTGAATATGCTCCTAGTGTCAACATCCTTCTGGAGCTAAATTAAGTTGTAATTTGTTAACGCCCAATATTATGTGAATTATGTACAGTGATTCCAATTGCAAGTAGAAATTGCCACAGGATGCCTCCCATTGTAAAACTTGTGCAGCTGGCTGCTCGAATATTATAACACTGAGATACTGATGATATAAAGGGCTAGAGTTTGCTTTGTCAAATACTTAGTACATTAAATACATATGTTTTTTTCACGACAGTAATTTTCATGTCAAACTAATGGAATAAGGATTTTTCCTGCTCAGTCTGCTTTTTGTTCTTGTCTTAAAATAGTTTTTGTATATGTGTATTATTTGAAGGAAACCAACCATTGCACAGTTGATGTTGCCAATTCTGACATATGTCAATTCAGAGACACTGTATTTATTCTTGTGAATAATGAGATGCACCATGCAAAGTAAAATCAGCTAGGAAACTAAGCACTTCTAAAAACTCTATGGCCACAAGGTGGCACTGTATTAAAAGATTGTATTTGTGATGTCTTCTCGGCTCATTCTGCAAGAGAAACTTCCATTTAGTCCTTTATAAAGTTAATATTAATACACAACACGAATACCAGCAGCTTGTTTTTTATTATCTATTGATAATAATTGAGATATTAGAATGTCCTGTGGTACTCAGTGCTGAGTTTGAGCTCTCAGTTTTAATCTTTCTTTATGCCTTGGAGATTTTGTTCATAAGGATATTATTGGTAGTAATGTAAGAAGACAAAATGCAGAAATGCTGTTTATTGATTTTGTGAGCTTACAGTCATATTTGTGTTGATTGTGATAATTCTATTGGGGGGGGGGGCTTGACTATCTAATTGTGTCAGGTGACAATTTTATGAATCAGTATGTTCTATTTTTGGATGTCAGTCATATGTCCTAAGACACATCAAAGTATGAGAACCATGAATAAAAAAAACTGTGTGTTCACTTTGCCTCATCATCTTTATTGAATGTGTTGGATTGAGTGTGAAAGGGCACCAGTAAAGAAGTATTGAACTTGAGAGGCACAAACTCTGAAAACATGTCCTGTAGCTGATATATATATATATATATATATATATATATATATATATATATATAAATAAATGTATACAGTGACCCAAGATCTGTTAAATCTATATAAAATATGAGTCAGGGATTTTATTTTCTAGTTTATATCTTGCTCATAAACTGAATGTAGAAAGAATCTCGCCCATACGATGAGGGTTTTTAACAAGGTCTGTTTGTAATCAGGTATTTAATCCATTCCTGAACATTGTTTTATAATGAAAACATGTATATAGGCCATGCCATCTTAGATATAGTTGTATAGAACATGGTAGTTTTTCAAAGCAATCTTCATTATATATCACAACACTGTGTTTGCTTGACATAACAATAGTTGGTGATTGATGTTCATTGCTCCAGAACTCAGGCAGCTCCGCACGGGCTCCCCCGCTCGCTGGGACCGGTGCTCGGGGCTCGCTGGGACCGGGTCAGTGTCGGTGGTGGAGGGCATCAGCAGGAGGAGGATCACGGTGACAGGGGATCTCTGTGAACCCCCCGCCTTGTGCAACACATCTTCTGTTCTGCGGTAAAGATGGCGGCGTCAGAGGGGGCGCGCAGCTGCCGGACAACGGCAAGGCGATTGTGAAAAAGCTCCACATTTGACCGAATCTCGCTCCTCGGTTACCGTCGATTTCTGCTCGGACACCGTCCGGATCACCGGAGTCGGAACAAAAGCTGTCACGGGCCTGGGCTGCGGTTTTATTGTTAAAGGCAGGGTGGGTGGGTTTCACTGATAGCTGCTAACGGTTGCTAACGGGCTAGCCGAGCGGGCTAACACGGGCTAGTTAACGTTAGCTAACAGTGAAGAACAGCAGGGAGGGGATTGAGGAAGACTATTCCGGCCAGGCCGCTGCAGCTCGGGGGGAATGTGAGCCAGAGGTGCGGCAGGGGGGGTTCGCTCGCTTCGTCCCAAACGTCCGTACACCAGTCTACCAGGATGGGACAGCAGGTAGGCCGCGTCGGTGAGGGCACATCGACCGCACTCCAGCCACCACAGCCCCACGCGTCCCAACCGCACCAAGGGAAGGGGATCCGGGGGAGCGGCGCCGGGAGGAGACCCCGAGAACCCGGCAGTAGCACCGGGACACCGCCGGGCAGGACTGCTGCAGTCAACGTGCCCGATCCGGGGATCAACATATTCACGCTGCATTCAGGTAAATGGAGAATCACGCTAATAATAAGGGTGAGGATAGAGGAGTGTAGTTTGATGTGTTTGCTTCTGACTAGCGACTGCTAGCTGAGTCCATGCTAGTTTGACAACGACGCGTTAGCGGAAATAGCCATACCAACGAACATTAGCTTGTCTCATCCATTTCACTGTCTTTCTCTGAGTGTGTGTGTGTTTACTCCTCTATTGTCTGTGTGCAGACATGAGGCAGTTTATCCAGAGAAGGGATTTCTCACTTGATCATATTTCTCACCACAAAATCATTATGTTGGAGCCTGTTCACTAAAGATCAAGAGGAGAGAGAGTTTTTTTTTAGGAAGAGGAAGAATCATCTGGTCCCACTCTGTAGGATTCACTGCAGGTCACCTGGTTAAGTTGCCTGTCTGTGTGCTTTACTTGGTAAACTGTGATTCTTGCCTCCGGAGGTTTTGCAGCAATTCCACTCCATTAAGTCACTGTGGCAGCCACCACAGGCTCACATTACAATACCTAGTGGTTTTCACATGCTCGCTTACATCCCCTGTCTCATCCTCTCTGCTGTTCCAATGCAGTCAAGCAGCAGACTGCACAGTTTGATCCCGTGGGAAACTCGTGTGAATTATTTAACTCGACCCTCATTGTATGATCACGCTCATGCAAAGCGTCAGAGTTTGAAGCTACATATGTGTGATCTTAATTTAATGTCCCCACGTCTATCGTCACACGCGATCAGTGAGTTCATGTGCTGAGGGAATAATGTGGGTTGTATGCAAAATTGACACAGACAAGAGAGAGCTGGTAACAGTTCTCCACCATCCACCACGTTCCTGCCTCGGAGCTATAGCTGTGCATTGGTATTGTTATCTGTGAGTCACAGAGAACAATGCAGATCTACACTAACTCTCCCCTTTGAGCTATGGAGAAACAGCCCAGTGGTAACTCCTCCATGCCCTAAATGGACTTCCTCTTCCCTCCCAGCCTTCTCCCCTCAGGGCACGTTCTCCCAGAGGCTGATCTCAGCTTAATAAGTAATGACGATGACAAGATGCCAAGATTTATGATCATACTCAGTTTGATTGTACTCTCCCTGAGTGTAAGCCCAGTGTTGAATTCGACGTCTGTCTACCTGCAGTTAGCTTTGTTCCTCACTCGTGTCGTTCCTCTAGTGGACGGACAGTTTACGCAGCACTTCTCGTGTGTTGTTTAGATGTAAAACTACTGACACAGCTTGCCTAGTTTCCGCAGATGTCCAAAAACCAACTTCCTCACAGCATTGCAGCGAGGTGCAAGCTTATTGGGAATGGAAAGCATTTTCAATTCCTGGCCGTCACATCTGAAAAGCAACCCGCCTCACTTTGAAGTACATACACCAGACAGACAGACGGACCGACTAAGTGCAGCACCACTCACTGTCGACGCAGCTCTGTTCTCACCGATGTCAGGGCAGGAGTGGCCTTTTTATAGCAGCCAGGATGCAGTCACATAGTCACTCTGCAGAAAGACTTCTTCTCTTCAAAGTACACAATAATAGAACAAAGACTCCTAAGTGAGGAAGCTTGGGACTGTGCACTTGCTCTTCCACTGACGATCAAAGGACCCTTTTTCTGTTAGTCAGTTAGTTAAAATGATAAGGATGCAGCATTATCTTCCGTGTCTCTGTGGGTAAAATTTGGACTTGATTTTAAGGGAGCTGCTGTGATTGTCAAGAAAGAAGTCAATGTTCATTAGGGCTACAGGCTACAGAATTTTTCAGGTTGTAAAATGTCAACAAATCACAGTTGCAGATAAGAAAAGAAGAAAGCATCTCCACAAATGTATAATCATGTAACAGTTGTCATTTCTGGCTAAATTCAATCAACCACTCGATGAGGTTCCTATATTTGTTTTGTGTTTATTTGACAATGACGTCATGTCACCAGATCTTGTCCATGAAGTTGAGATAAGAAGATATTGACTCTTTTCAAGGAAGTTGAAGTGTCAGAGCAGAAAAAGGAAGTTCAACAACAGATGAATAGTGTAGTGGTGAGTCAACCAGTGGGTTGTGGTGTTGAAAGCTGATCAGATTTAATGTTCATGTGTTGTTGTATTTTTGTTATTGGCTGCATGATTTTAATAATATTCCTGTTAAACTCTTTAAGAGATCAACCATTCGAAGTGGTTTTATTAAATCTGCAACATAACAACTTTATATCAGGCAAGCAAACGTCTCAGGCCAATTGACTATGAGGGATCCATGCTGGCAAGTGACTCTATGGACCTGGATAAACAGTAACCACAGGGACACTGTAAGAAATAAAGCGAACAATACAAGGCAGCGAGAATTTCATAGCTCAACATTGTACATTTCACAAACATTTCATGAGCGAGAGCAGAAATCTGAGCGAAGAATCCTCATGAGCACGAAGAAGCAGGCGGAACATGAGGAGAAGGACTCCATGTTAAGCACAGGACAGTAAATCTGACCATAAGTTTAGAGCAAGAGTAGAGCAAATTTGCACACAAGCAAGTACTGGAGGCAAAGCAATCGAAGAACCTGAACGTGAAATGAGGAAATAATAATAATGCAAGACCCCGCTCTCGATTAACAAGGTGTTAGGATGTTTGTGTGTTGAAATCCCATCTGTGTGTTGCTACCTGACGTTCCAGAGTTTCTGTCAGTATATGTGAAACCACTGAGTCATTTTGACAAACGCACAAGCATCCCCCTCTTTCATGTCTCCTCAGTTTTGGTGAGTTTTCACAACTTCTATAGATTCCTGTTTTGGGATGGTCTGGTCTCACTAGGTGAGTCAGCTGAATGTCCCCCTGCTCAGGTGTGCAGCAGTTCTATTCAGCTCATCTGTAATTTAGCATCCCTGTCTCTGAGCAACATCCTACCAGACAGACAGGCCAGCGAGAAAGCACTGACCTTTACAAGGACGGACAGGGCGCAGACTGTCTCTGTGCTCATTCAAAGGGAGCTGTCCAGACAGCCACCTCTGTGCGTATTGGTCGGAGTGCAGAATTCATGAATCGGTGGCTGCGACTTATTGATAGTTCCTCTCCTTTATAGCCCCGTCGGGAGTTCAGAGATTTCCATCTCTGCTGTAGGTTGAATTGATACAGACACTACAGATACAAATCTGTTGAGAGAACAGACTCATAAACAGATTTTTATTTTTACAGGAATTGTCATTTTAACATGTCTTATTATTGCCTCTCTTTATCGTGCTTGTGGGTTAACCTGATTGCTGTACTGACTCTGTAAATCAGCCATAAAAACACTTGACTGAAAGTTCCTCATAAAAAGAATATCTACAAAGCGATTGGTTTATCTATTTTTATTCTAACCAGATCATAGAAATTGGGGCAGATGAGTGGATTGGAGCATTTTTTGGCAGCACTCTTGTGAATGTAGAGCAAGCTTCACCCAAAGTGCAGCACTGTTAAAGCTGCCCATAGGAGCGAAGAGATGCCTGGATCCTTTCAAGGACCTAAGCTGATTTGCATTGTGGGTGAAATTAGATTAGCAACAAATCCACTTTTCTATGGACTCTTTGCGCTAATACCCAGACAGCCAGGATAAGTCACACTGCAGCTACTTCTGTATCTGGGGAAAAATCAAGTTTCAGACACTTCAGTGGCTATGAGCGCATTTTAAACAGGCTTTTTAAATACAATAGCCTGGAGTAAAGATTATTTCCTGATTTAAAAACTCAGTCAGTCTGTCCTTGCAGCTGC